TTCTATACTCTCATGATTGCATTAGATTTTGCTACTGTTATTGTTTGCTCCTATTCTGATGCATAGCCTGCTTTTGTACCTGCTGTTGTACCTTACCTGCTTATCCTAAACTGCTTAGTATAGGTTGGCTAGTGATCCATTAGTGACCCCCACCTTGTCCTTGTCGCCCCTGCTTCATCATCGATGACTCGATCAACGTGATCGACAATCAGAGCCCGACACCTCACATCACATCACGCCCCTTTTGTTGCTCGACTCTGCAGAGCTACTATCGAGTGTCGAGGGTGATCCCTCATAACACACTCCTGATGATAATTCTGTAGTGTAGCTATTCGGTCATGGTCATCGAGGGTGATTTCCTCTTTCACCATTCCCGATACGGCTCTGTCGTTCAACACCTCAAGTGTAAACCTCGAGGGTGGTTCCTCTTACATTCACCTTGATGATTACATCGAGTGGAATACACCGGGGGTGATTCCTCGGGGTTTCCTCTTGATGTTTGGACACACGGTTACATTGGCTTTACTTGAAACCTTGGTGAAAGTCGGGCGGGCCCAAAGAGCACCCGCAAGATAATGACATGGCATGGCCGGGCATTCTAGGCCATTGTCGTAAGTCCACGAGACGGGGCAACAGGGTCACTTTCGATCGTGAGTCTCTGCTCGTCTCCGCAAGCTAATAATACACTATGGTTTGGGTATTTGTTCTGAGTTGGCCTCTGGCCTTTACGCACTAACCACCACGCGAGAATAGTTATGGGCCTCGACGTCGTGGTATCAGCCGAAGCTTTGTCAGACGTCCAGTTCAGCATTGTGGCACGGTCGGAATGTGCTGGCCATCCGAGGCGGTGCTGGTATCCACCCTGCACACAACGACCAGGAGTGTTGTGGGCGATGGGCCCAAGATCTCGGAGTGCTTAGGATGTCGACCGACGGGACCTCTCTGCTGAGCCTAAGTAGGGTTGCGACGTGTTGATCTTTCAAGGCTGGGCATTGACCCCAGAAAGGTGTGTCCGGCCAGAGTGATCGAGCGTGTTGGGTAACGTGGTGCACCCCTGTAGGGAAGTTATATATTCGAATATCGTGTCCATGGTAATGGACGTTCAGACTTATATCCTGATCTTATACAACTATAAATGGATACTTGAAATATGTGGCTCCGGGATTGCTTTCTCGCAGGGAGTCGAGGAAGGATCTCTGGGCATTAATGTTACAACATGCTTGTTAATTATAAACTGCTATTCTTTACTCTTCTACATGCTGCAAGATGCTCAGAGCTGCTTGAAGATGCTAGTCTTCGATAGGCTAGGCCTTCCTCCTCTATTCTGGCATTCTGCAGTTCAGTCCACAGATACAACCCTTTCTTTTGATACAAATGCATACTTAGTATAGATCTGATGCTTGCGAGTACTTTGGATGAGTACTCACGGTTGCTTTGCTACCCCTTTTCCCCCTTCTTTCTTCTTTCCGGTTGATGCAACCAGATGGTGGATCCCTGGAGCCAGATGCCACCGCTGATGGATGCTACTACGTGAAGATCGCCGACGACCAGGAGTAGTTAGGAGGTCCCAGGCAGAAGGCCTTGCCTCTTCGATCGTTGTTGCTTTTGTGCTAGCCTTCTTAAGGCATCCTTGTGTAACTTATGTTTGTACTCAGATATTGTTGCTTCCGCTGACTCTTGTGTATCGAGCTTGTATTCGAGCCCTCGAGGCCCCTGGCTTGTAATATAAAGCTTGTATTATTTTTTTTGTGTCTAGAGTTGTGTTGTGATATCTTACCGTGAGTCCTTGATCTTGATCGTACACATTTGCGTGTATGATTGGTGTACGAGTAAATCAGGGGCGTCACACTATGTAGGCCCTAGTGGTCAAATTCACTATTAAAATGCTAAACACCATGTTATGTGTTCAACCCATGCCCCAATCGTCGTGGGTTTTTTTCGTCAAAGATGATTGTTGCTTTGATATCCATCTAGCCCCCTAATGTGTGGTGGTCTTTTGTAATTTACTCATCTATGTTGCCAAAGTCGCGAGAGCTCTTAAAATCGGCAAGCTATTTGCTGCCCGTCGCTAATAAGGCAACCCCTTTGTCTTCTTCGTAGTTCTTGGGGTCCATGAAGTTTTGAACCAGTTCTATCTTTTCACTGATTGGCCACCACCTTCTTCACCACTTCATAATTCAGTCTCTTGTCATCGTACATAGCATCAATTTCAATCATTGAGGACAACGCTTCTCGTGTTCTATAGCATCAATGGTTCCGCGTAGTTCTTGGGGTCCATGAGGTTTCGAACCAGCTCTACCTTTTCACGGATTGGCCACCACCTTCTTCATCACTTCATAATTCAGTCTCTTGTCATCGTACTCCCTCCGTTCCTAAATATAAATCTTTATAGAGATTGCACTGGATAGACTACATACGGAGCAAAATGAATGAATCTAAACTTAAAATGCATCTATATACATCCGTATGTGGTTTATAATGGAATCTCTACAAGGACTTACATTTAGGAACGGAGGAAGTACATAGCATGAATGTCGATCGTTGATGACAGCGCTTCTCCTGTTCTATAGCGTCAATGGTTGCGTCGATGACGATGAGCGGGCAGCCGTGAGATTCGCCCATGGCCTTGCACCAACGATCCTACGGGCTAATGAGATCCTATGGCCTGCGGGATGTGTCGCAATAGTCAGTTCAACAATGGCAGGCTGATGCCCGACAAGCTCTACAACGGCGTCGGCACGACGACGACGACCATCAACGATCAGCTGTGGGGATGAGCACCAGCGAGCCGCCGCCGCCGCCGTGCATGTGGTGGATTATACGTGCGTCGAGCACCCCAGAACATCTTCGATCGTGTGAATAGTGTCAGCCCATTCACAGATCACACGGGCCCATGGGCCTAGATCTTCTGGCTCAGGTTACAGCGCATGTTTCTCTAGGATTTGTATTTAGAAACTTCTGCACAATTGCGACTCTTACCTGATGCATTCACCTGAGCCTACTCACAACTGCTTTTGGTTCACCCTCTCTACCAGTACAATAAGGGCCTCTTTGATTCGCAGGATTGTCAAAATGAAGGAATAGGAAAAATGTAGGAATAGGATGGCATGTCCTATAGTATCCTACAGGATTTGAAAGAATGTTTGATAGCGCCAGGGGCGGAGCCAGGATTTGACCATAGAGGGGGCGAAGAAGACAATGAACACATAAAAGTTTTTTTTTCTTCTGAAAATGACCATACATAAAGGAACACAAAGTAATATGTATTTTGCAGTTAGAAAAATGTATTTTTGTTCATTAGTTTGAATGTGGCTCTTACACCTAAAACACATAAAATAAAGTCAATAATCCTATATGGCGATTCTAGCTTGTTAACTAAATTTACTGGTGCTAGAATATTTGATCGGTAGTTTGTGTATCAACTAATTTGACATTCTAGCCATCATGCATACAAACTGGTAGATTTATAATCGTCCCAAAAATACAAACAAGCATCTAACAATTTGTGCATATCTAATAATAATAGTAACTTGTGATAGCATAGACATGAGCCGGTGATATACCTTAGATCTGACGTGAGTCGTGCTATGTTGTCCTAAGGGTGAAATTTAAAACTAAGAGCGAAATTTTAAACTTGGATGATGAAATCAGTGCCTACAGGACTTATTTGTGAGAATAAAACAAGAAATTGCTACACCTAATTAATTCCATCTAAAGCAAAAGGTTTCCAGTCTTCTGGAGCCAGATGCGAATCACTTCATCATCGATATTTCACAGTATAAATCAACAAAGGAATTAAGGAGACTCACCGCAGGATTATTCTGCCTTCAGCGCCGGTGTTGACCCGTTTTACAGATGCCATCGTCGAACTTCCTAGGCGTCTACGTGAAGCGAGCGCGTGTGCCCGGTGTGTCGGCGGACGGCGGCTCGGCGCCGAAACGAACGATAGATGCCCTCGATCGTGGGTTCGTGGCCTCGTCAGATTCCAGAATTACCTGGCTGTTTGTTTTCTCTAGCGTGGGCTGACCAAGAAATACATATGGGCTTTAACTAGGAAAGCTCCTGGGCTCCAAGCCTTGAGCGCATTGTTAGGGGGGGGGCATTTAGTCCTAAGTCTGTTTCACGTAGCGTAATCTACCTGGCGTACAATTGCATACTTCGTGTACGACGCGGCTCGTCCCCCCTTGGCTCCGCCCCTGGATAGCGCAGGAAAAACAAAAGAATTCTACAAAGAGGTTTGAGTGGATGGAAATTTTCCTTCAAAATGTAGTACAAATGGATACTATAGAAAAATCCCTAAGGATGCCAATCCTACGAATCAAACAAGCATTACAGGAAAAAATCCTAAAGGTCCAAATCCTCTAAAAATCCTATGCAATTCCTTTGAATCAAAGGAGCCCTAAAATTGGAACTATAACCACGACAAGAATACTGATCCAGCACATGTGCCATGTAGATTAGACAGACTGTGGCTTCAACAAAGCTTTGATCCTTCTTTTACTGTTACACCAGAGCTAGCTACACATCCCTAACTGGAATCTGCAATGCTGAACAATAAGACACCTCTCCAGAAATACCACTACTAACAGCTGAAGCAGTACTAAATCTGCTGTTCGACATACAAAAGCAAGCAGTTGAACCACACAAGACACCAACACAAACAGAAGAGAGGTACTCGGCATACAGGTCTTCTAGACGACGAAACAGAGGAATTAATTGGTCGCTAACAGAGTGGCACTACTGTTGCCTAATTGATCCGCTATACCAGTAAAAATGAACACGGCTACAACAACTACTCCCTCCGTCCCAAAATTCTTGTCTTCAATTTGTCTAAATACGGATGTATCTAGTCACGCTTTAGTGTTAGATACTTCCCTGTCTAGATGAATCTAAGACAAGAATTTTGGGATGGAGGGAGTACTTTCGAAATGTGCAGCCCCTGTGCTCTTCGTTGATGGCGCCCTTAGTCACAAGTCATCCAAAAGCTTCCTCGTATCCCTTCACGTGGCATTCCTGTTTCAGAGAAACAGAGGAAGTATCCAGATGGAGGTTATTGAGCATCAGAATAAATTCAGTTTGCCACTTTAAGCATCAAAATATAAGATGGGCTAACAAGACAAGTGGCTAGTCCAACAACAGTTAAATGTTTAGTGCGCTTAATAAATTAAAGCGGTGAATTTGGTCAAGCAATGCAGTTTTCATTTCCAAAGTCTGCAGCAATAAAGATTAAATGCCTTCGTTTTCATATCCCAGTCACACATATTTCCATTTTATAGTTTGTATTCTAACAAACCAAAACTCTGGTTACAGATGGAGAAATTCCACACAAACATAAACTAGCCACTGATAGCTTGGACTAGCAATGTCATATAAAAGGAAAAAAAATACTGCAATATATCTGGATCACAAATCATGAATAAGCTCAAGAGCAACAGCGTAAAAATACCACCACTTGCGTTTGGGAAAAAGAACATACGATCCACTAGGAAACATTTGAGGGGAAAAAACAAGCATTAGCAATCTCATACATAGCTTGAGCTTCACAGTTGAGAAGTAGGCTGTACAAAACTACACCATGATTATATTAAGAAAATGGGAAGCTCAAGTTCCAGGCTTGATGGGTCTCTGTCTATTTTTGTGCAAGAAAACATAATGGTCAACACTCTAACAGATAACAAGGTTAGGCATCTTTTTAGCTCTTCATCCTCTTATACATGATGTTTTATACTACTTTTGCAGGTCCAATTTGCAATTCTGCACTGATAGTTCAGTAAAGTGTAAGACTACAAATTGCACAAGGTTGAGTTCTGGAAACAGCACAAGGTTGAACAAAAGTAACTATTCCATTGAGTGGTCTGCCATAGTCTGATACTAGTACTTCAGTACACGTCTAGCAAACGACAAGAACCATCGACACTATCATGTGTAATTTTGCAACTAATATTGAGCCCACAGAAATATGACTAGCTTCGCTGAAACCTATTAATTAAGGGTGACAAACTGACAGTATACATGCGATAGTTGGATTTGGATATATGTAGCCGTCCGAGTAGCACCAGGGAAGTAAATGTCAATCACGGATCTACTATGGTAGCATATCTAAAGGGGGACTTCTGTAATCTTTTAGTGACTAGGAAACAAACCTGTATCCCTCCTTAACTCCTACTTCTCTTTTTACGCTTACCTATCCACAACATCATTTTACACACCGAAAACCACACACAAGGGTACCCTACTATGACCGCAAGTAGACACCTTGCAATATTCCTCGGCACACAAGTGATTTCAAATCATCTTACATCAATCATTCACTAATGCCGCCTCTAGTATTGTTAGATGTCCCAGTAAATCAATACAGAGGTGATTTCAAATCATCTTACGTCAAGCATTCACTAATCTTGCTTAACTAGTATTGTTAAAAGGCCTAAGGAAACAATACATAAGTGATTTCAAATTACCCCACGGCAAGAATACTATAATGTGGCTTGACTAGTATTGTTAAGAATCAATCACATACTCCCTCCGTCCCAAAATTCTTGTCTTAGATTTTTCTAGATACGGGTGTATCTAATACTAAAACGTGACTTGATACATCCGTATTTAGACAAATCTAAGACAAGAATTTTGGGACGGAGGGGGTATGTAACAGCACTCCATAGCTATACTAAACAGTGAGAGGCACAATGCACATTGCAAAACTATGTAAACTCTACAAGTACACTATACAGATCACCAAAAGGTTAAAAGGCAAACCTCGCAGGACTGAGAGTAGGGAAAATGGGAGGCCAGGTCATCATAAAAGGATAGATATCACCCAAACATTTCTCCTCTGTTGTCATCTCGTACGCTTTACACAGCGTCCTGCGGTTGACATCCAAGTAGAGTACGGATCGACCCATCTCCAAGAATACAAACCCATTATAGTCCCCCACATGGTTTATCCGGATATCAACAGTAAGCTCATCCTCAAGCAAACCAGCAAATGTTTCGCTCAAGCAAATGGTGTCCACCAGCAACCAATTGTCCCCATTGTGGAGCCAGATATGAAGTTGAAGCTCCTTGATATGGATGAGATATAGACCAGAACCATCATTGACCCGCGACAACATGGTGGTGCCTAGATCAAAATCCACCCCGTGTGGGAGCTGAGTTGTCAATAAGATTGAGGATGTCAAATCCAGGATAACAATTGCATTGCCGGCCGCAAAATAGATTTTGTTGTCAACGAGTACGCCTTTGGGAGTAGATTGTGGATGCAAAAGACGGTCTGACCCCAAGGTGAGATGTTTGTGCCAGGCATCATCACCAGCTTGCCACATATACACATTCATCTTAGGTTCCATGGTATCCTCCACGGTGACATAAAAGTAGGACGAGCCATCCCTTTCTACTTTGGAGAAGAGTTGTGCCCAATTGTACAAACAGGGCATTCCGAGCTGTAATCCTGGGAGGATGGCCATACCATGGTCATAGTCATAGCACAGTGGGCTGTGCACTGCAAATACAAGCTCGTAGGCGAGGACGCAGTTGTTGAGGACGCTGAAGTTTAGGCGGCGGGTGATGACGCGGCCGTTGGAGCAGCCCACCATGGTACCCCCTTCTTCTTTGGAAAAGAATGGCCTCTGGCTGAAGTTTGTGCGGCGGATGACAGCAGCGAGCTCCGGGGGCTGAGGCAGCATCGGGAAGAAGCGTGCGGCGTCGTACGGATAGCCTTGTGCAAGGTAGAAGCCGAGGAGTCTTGGCGGGTGGAGCTCCCGGAAACGGCGGAGAAATGCGCGGTCGGAGGCGTGGCTGAGCCAGCGCCTGCAGACGCAGGCGGCGCGGACGAGGCTGGTGGGGAAGCCGACGCGGATGATGATCTCCGTCAGGAGGTCGTCGTCGTCGAGCACCTTGGATACACACGCCGGCGGCGGCCGCGCCTCGCCTTCCATACTGTCCGGCGGCGGCTGCGTCTCGCCCTCCATTCCGTGGGTTCAGGATTTGGGTAGAAAGGGGATCGAGGCAGGTCGACGATGGAGTGAATAGAAAAGATCCGAGATTGCCTCCCCTTGCTGGGCTCCTAGCCGTGGCCCATCCAAGTCCAACCCGAACTAAAAACGAGGGCCCATCAAGCCCGTAATATGAGTAACAAAGCAAGCGATCAGTTCTCGTTTTCTTATAGATAGATGCACACATTTTGATTTTCACTCAAAACTCAGGGATCTTTATTGCTTAATACTGTAGAAATTTGGTTACAATCGGTCACAGGGGTTCTAACAAGGAACCTCGAACTTTCATCAATCCAGCAATCAGCGCTTGTATAAGACTAGTAGCGTGCTTAGCACATAAATCAGTCGGAGTGTTGGCTTCCCTCATTGAAAATAGGCGGCACAGTGAACTATCATTGTGCCCTGAAGACTAGAGGTTGACAACCTCTAAATAATCCCATTCATTATAACATGCGAGAACCGACGAGTACTACACCTTATCGCAAAGCCAGTACTTCAGTTATAAACATACCGGTGACTCCTGGAAAAGGTTTACTTCAAGCTCCTTGGAAAGAAAGGTGTGGTCTACTTATACCTCCTCCACCTCCATTCTGAGAGTGCAATCAATGGCACCGTTAGTATTGATCTTTACCCAACCTGGATCAGATGGTTTCCAACACTGCCCTTGATGCACACGTCGTTCGTCTAAAGGCTTGTCCAGTACTGACAGGTCATCTCTTACCCTCTTGACCGCATGAACCGGATCAAAGGGCTCTTATTCATGTGTCCATATGTTGCCAGATGTCCAGATAGTATGCATCACCGTAATGATTTTGCATCTATCCTTATCAGCAAACCTTTGATCAAGCACAATATCGTGAGTCCATGTATCCGGGTGGAGGCGAGGTAGATGACATCCACGGCCTCTCTTGTTGACATCCAATAGGGTGTGTTTGGTAGGGTGCATGAGCTCAAAAGTTCCATACAGAACCCACTTTTGACTGTTTGGCAGGGGGTATGGACTCACCTAAACTATGCCCATCTCATGCAAAAAAGGCCTCTTGGCCATGTAGGGTGCGCCCAGATAGGGTGCATGGAGGTAGCCATGCTCTCCCCGGCCCTCAAAAAATGTTTATAGTTCTAAATTTTGTTTAAATTCTCAAAAAAGGTTCATAATTTCAATTTTATTTAAGTTTTCAAAAACTATTCAGAATTTCAGAAGTTGTTTAAATTCTAAAAAATGTTCAGTATTTCAAAATTTATTTAAATTCTCAAAAAATGTTCAGAATTTCAAATTTTGTTTAAATTCAAAAAAACCTTCAGAATTTCAAAAAAAATGTTTGGAATTTCAAATTTCATTTAATTTTTCAAAAAATTTAAAAAAATGGAATGCCAAATGTGTTGACTTTTTTCCATGTTTCTCAAATTTTGTTCACCATTCAAAAAAAAGTTATTCAAAATTCAAAATTGTTCGACATGTCTAAAGTCTAAACACATGTAGGGTGCCAAACAAAGTCTCGGCTCAGCATGTCTCAGCAGATACACCGCTACTAAATAACAACAATGCATGTACTCAGCATGTCTCAAGAGGGAACAGCAATGATATGGTGAGAACCGCTACAAAACACACCCTCCTAGCATGGGAACAGGACACATGGGCATGCATCATGTTTTCATCCATTGCTTCGCAAAGATCACACCTTGCAATACGCCTACTGTGGCGATGCTTCAATGTAGCATAGTCATGGAGTATTCCTCGAAGAACTCTCCACCAAAATACCTGAACTATCGGTTTAACCTTGAGTTTCAATAGAGTAGACCAAAGGTGAACATATGACGATGAAATCCCTGTCGTCGTTCCTTCCTCTAGAGTACAATGCTCATTATGAGTGACAAGAGCATGGTATGCTGTTTTGACTGAATATTCACCTGATCTTTCTAATGCCCAGCTCAAAGTGCCTTCCACTCCGAACACACGCAACAAAATATTCAGTATAGCGGTTGCGTCCGGTGCAAAAGAAATTCCTCCTTACTGCCTCGATGTCCCAGTGTCTGTGTTGATCAAGGAGATCCGATAGCGGGGGGCTTCTCTCGAGAATTTATATTTGAAGACTTCTGCACAATTGGCACTCTTACCTCTGATACATTTACAAGAGCCTATAGAAGCTACATGCCTAGACTCCCTGTATAAGTTCTGCAAGGCTATTATTATTGTGTTTGGCCCTGAGTACTTGAGAGAGACGACTCTTAAAGATACAACCCGTTTGTTGGCGATGAATGCCAGCAGGGGCTTCCCAGAGATGCTTGGCAACATAGATTGCATGCACTGGAAGTGGAAGAACTGTCCTTCAGCTTGGCAATGGCAGTATAAGGGCCATGTCAGAGCTTGCACTGTCATACTTGAGGCCGTGGCATCTAAAGATCTGTGGATCTGGCACTCTTTTTTTGGCATGGCCGGATCACACAATGCTTCAGCGCTCGCCGGTGTTTGCTAGGCTTGCCAAAGGCAACAGCCCACCGGTGAACTTTACTATCAACAGCCACAACTACGACAAATGATACTACGCGGATGACGATATCTATCCTCAGTGGACCACTATTGTGAAGACAATCTCCAACCCTGTCGGAGAGAAGAGGAAAAGATTTGCCCAATAGCAAGAGAGTGCTAGGAAGGACGTCGAGCGTGCCTTTAGTGTTTTGCAATCTCAAAGGGGCATCGTTCGATATCCTGCTAATACTTGGAGCACGCATAAACTGTGGGAGGTGATGACTGCTTGTGTGATCATGCCCAATATGATCATAGAAGATGAGCGTCCGGAACGTCTGTACGAGCATGAAAGAGCAGCAACGTTTGAACACTTCATCCAATTTCATCATGACATGCGTGATTGGAAAACTCACATCTGCAAAATAATTTGGTTGAGCATGTGTGGGCTCATGTTGGTAATGTATCTTTTTTATTCAGCTTGCAAAACTATGTGAGACATTTTACTTTTATTCGGCTTGTAAAACTACGCTATTTATTTGGTTGAAACTATGCTATTTATTTGGCTGCGGACTATGTGAAATGATGCAAAAGTTGTGTGTGAAATAATGCAATTTTTGTGCTATATGATGAAAAAGGGCAGCGGGTCAGTGCATTGGACGCATTGCGGACCCAAATCTCAAACCAAGCGGACGCCGGACGGGCGGCCAACCCAAACAGACAAAAAGCGGACAAAAGAGTTGTTCATTTAGGTCAGTGCGTTGGAGTTGATCTAACAGTAGAAGAAAGCTAAATGTAGTTCTTTGAACTTCTCAATAAAGTGCTTCGCTGCACCCGTGCTCAAAAGTCAATTTTTGGCCGGACCGTGGCTAATTACTTCCTCTTTGATTGTCTGTACCCGCTTCCCTGTGGGGCTTCACGGATAGGGCTACAAGAAAATCTCGAGACTCGTGAGCCGCTCGAGATCACTCATTTTTTGACTTGAGTCGAGATCGACTCGAAAAGAAACAAGCTGAGTTTGAACACTTTATGTAGCTCGATCAAGAAACGAGCTGATCTTGAGCCAATGTTGGCTCGCTTAATTTTAGCTCGATAGCTCAACAATATATCTTATGTTAAATGATCATGCCATATATTAAATGGAAAGGAAGATAATTTATTACCATATATGTTGTCCATGATTTTTCTCAATTTTATTTACCAACGAACATGGTAACTTAATTAAGTGCAGACAAGATTTAGGCCTAATTATGGCACGTGGTCGACTATGTGTTAAATCTTCTATATTTTTGGCAAAGGTTCCCAGCATATCCACCTTTATATTTTTTTTGTTTTTCATCCATAGATTTATAATTTTTACCATCTCGTTTAGCTCGAAACTAGATCGAGATCAATTCAAGATCGTTACAAGCTGAGCATGAGTCCTGTTCTACAGCTCGATCATGAGCTTCACTTAATTTGAGTTCGCTCGGATTTTTATATGAGTTGAGCTGAGCCAACTCCAACTCGCTCGAGCTCGACTCGTTTGCAGCCCTATTCACGGACGAGGGTGCCCTCTGCGCCATTCGTTTCGTGGTGATGTGCCGCATGGGCTCTCTGTGTTGTTTGATCTATCTGGACGGTGTGCATGTGACGCTTGCTCGCGCATGAAATCCCTCTGATGAGGTAGTTCGCTCGCGTAAGGTGGGGTGTTACTGTGTTTGAGCCGGGCATGCACGTGTGCTCGGCTCGGTGTATGCCGAGTCGTCTGTTCCGTGGGTATTTTCGTCTTTTTTAAAGAAGGTTGTGTTTTTACTCCTTCCATTTCTAAATATTTATCTTTCTAGATATTCAACAAGTGATTATATATGAAGTAAAATGAGTGAATCTACACTGTAAAATATGTCTATATACATTCATATGTGATAGTCCATTTGAAATCTCGAACAGAAGGAGTATAAGTTTGTCGTTTTACGCCATACGATAGACGCCGCGGACACTGACTTGACCTAGCTCACAGTAAGCGGGACCTCGCGGCGGACGTTCTCGAGTGTGACAACGGGCAGCCGCAGCGCCACGGTGCGTTGGGTAAGAAAGGGGATCGAGGCAGGTCTGTCGATGGAGTGAGACAGTGAGTGAAGAAGAGTCGATGCCAATGGCCTCACTACTCACTAGTTTTTTTAGGGGTCTCGCTACTCACTAGTGAGAGGAGATCGATGCAGAGCTGGCCAAACGGCCCGACCCGGCCCGGCCCGGCATAATCATCTCGGCACGGCAAAGCCCACAGAGGCATTGAGTATACGGAGCTAAAAAAATCAATTTGATGGTTGGTTTTAAAAAAATAAAAATATCCCTTTCATTTATCTCTAATTTTTTATACCTACCTGTTCGTGAATAGAAACACTTTTATATCTGCTTGCCATGTTCTTTCTTATTCAAGACAAGATGATTTTAGATCAAAATAGATGGCTAGCAACGCTCACCAATGAGTAATGGGATTATTTAATGGTTTCTACATAGTGGTAACAGGAAA